TTTTGCATATACAACTTGTTAATGTTATGGGTTGGAAGTTTTTTTTAGCCTTTATCTGATTTTGATATAGCGATCACAGTAGCTGGTTTCCAGCTATTTGGGAGTTTAACTTTAAATCATATCTCATTATAAATGTTTAACAGATATTTTAAGGATTCTGGGGGGAGTTTTTTTTAAGAAATTCATGATGAATTTCATCTGGGCTAGCAGTTGTATTATGTGATTTGCTTATGGAATCTATAAGTTCATTTAGGGTAAAAGGATGGTTTGTTGTTCAAATTAAAATTCAGCTTATGTTTTTTCTGCATTTTGCTTAACTTTTTGGAACTGATGTTTGTAGTTTTCGCTGACGGAATTTTGTTTAAAAGTTTCAGTGAGTAGATTTGCTGTATTCTTTTTGCTTGTTATTTTTATATTATTTTGAGAAAGGTGATTTAAAGGTGGTGACAGAATTTTGCCAGCAATTTTCCTTATCATATTCCAAACTTTTTTTGGTTTGGTATTGGAGTTTATTTTATTTATGTAATCTCTCCATGATTTTCTTTTAACTTCTTTGATGGTTCTGCCTGCTATTGCTCTATTTAGTTTGAATAGATTTAAATTATGGGTTGTAGGTTGGGTATTAACTTTTTGTAGTGCTGCTCTACATAATCTTATTGCTTTTTCACAATTTTCATCAAACCAGGGTCTTTGATGTTTATTTGATTTACTGCTTTTTGTTATACATTTTTTGTTGTCTTCATCTTTGTTAGTTTTTGACAGCATTGGTTTTTATATTCCCTCCAGTCTGCTTTGTTTAGTTTCCATCAAGGTAGACTGTTTTCAATTGGTTCTGAACTCTTCAGTATAATTGGGTAGTGATCACTGCTGCATGAATCGTCAAGAACTTGGCAACTGTAGACTATAAAAATAGAGGGGTCACACAGATAGGCCAGTAGCCGAGTACATACCTGATGCAGAATGCAGTTATGTTTACTAAATGATAAGTCTAATGCAGAAGTCATTGTTGTTAATTACATTTCCCAGGTTTTTCCCCTTTTGCCAAAGTTCTTGGATCCCCATATAACATTGTGATTGTGCAGTTAAGCTCATTTTCTTGGGAGCATTTTGGAGTTTGCCTATACCTGGGACCCTAACAGTTGCTACCACCCCAGGTCAGGGTGAACCTGGAAACAACAGCAATTAAAAGGTGGTTTCACTCTCCTCAAAACCTTCTGATGAGAGCCTTTCTGCTGAATGTGGTTTATTTTCATACCCAGAATGGAATCCTGGTGGGACTTCTAATTTTCTCAGAATTGCCTTACTGTATAGGTTGAATAAATCTGGTGAGAACACACATCCTTCTCTTACACCTCTTTCTATTTTTGTATATCTTCTGAAGTTATTTTCTATCCATATGCAAGCGGTTTGCTGGCAGTATAGGTTCTAGATTATTCTAGTATCCTTCCCAAATATGTCATAGTTGCTGAGCAGCTCAAACAGATCTTTGTGTAATCTATAAAGCACAGGTACACATCCTTCTTCATTTGTATTGCTCTTTCTGATAACATTCTGAGCATGAATATCATGTTCCTTGTTCTGGTGTCTTTGATGAACTCACATTGTTCTTGTCCTGTCTTTGGCCTGATTCTGCTGCACGCTCTATTCATCAGAATTTGGATTATGAGTTTTATTATGTGGCTCATTTCTTTTCACCTGGTTTCTTATTCAGTACTATGAAAATAGACCTGCTTAGGTCTTCTGTTATATCACCACTGTTGTAGATTTTATTTATTATTTCTGTAATTTTGTCCATGCTGAAATCATCTTTGGCTGCCAGCATTGTTATTACAATTCCATCTGGCCCTGCTGCTGCTTTGTTTCTGTTCAATTTGGCCACTGCAGCTTCCACTTTAATATTTCTAGTCCATCAGTATTTCTGTGTATTGCTGGTTATTCTCTTTCGTGTTCTGATATATTTGTTCTATCTCTGAAGTATTTTTTCTTTCTCTAATATCATTATTCTGTCCATGGATTCTATACATTCTGTTGATGAGTATGTCTGTTGTCCTTATTTTTTAATGTATATCTGCTTTACTCATTATTTCTATTTCTGCACATTTTTCGTCAAGCAATTCCTCTTTAGCCTGTTTGCATTTGTTCCTTATTTCTTTGTGTAGTTTTCTGTCTTCTATTCCATGTCTTAGCATTGTTTTCTGTCTCCTTTTCATCATAGTGAGAATCTCATTTGTCATCCATTCGTTTTTATTCTTTTGGTCCATTTTCCTTTGGGATGATCTCATTTTCTGATGTCACTAAAGCTTCTTTCAGTGTGTCCCACTTTGAGTTTCCATTTCCATTTTGTCCTTCATACCTTCTTTTCACACTGTTCATATATTTCTCCTTCAGGTTCAGGACATTCAAGAATCTGTTATATTACAATTTGGGTGCTGCATTAGGCCACTTCAGTTTCTATAGTTTCATTCTAAGTTTATATATAACAGGGAGGTGATTGCTTCCACAATCAACACTTGGCTAGGTTTTACAGTGTACATTCCTGAATCTCTTGTTGATAGTTATGTAGTAGTTTTGGTTTTTGCTTCTCCTCCTGGGTTCCTACATGTCCATATTTGTCTTGGATATTCTTGAACCAGGTGTTGACAACTACCTGGTCATTCATTGTGTTCCATTGGACCCATTTTTCTCTGCATTAATTGTAGGTTCTTAGTCCAGATTTGTCAGCTATTCCACAATCCCTATCATTGCCTACTTTGGCATTTGTCTCCCAGATTAATTATAATTACTTGTGATTTACACTGAGCCATGTCATTGTCTAGCATAGAGTAGAAGTTTTCAATTCCTCCTTCCGTACTTTGTGCTGTCAGTATATACACAACTATGACGGATATGTTGAAACTAGTATCAACCCAACTCCTTTTTCATTTTTCTCTATGCCTGCATATATAATCCTGTGTTTGTCACTGAAAAAATCTCCATTGTTAGGCCACCTTGTTTCACATACTCCTAAAATGTTGACATTTAACCTACTCATCTCCTGTTTTATATTTTACAACTGGCCATAGTTGTTTAACCTTCTAATGTTCCATGTCCCAAGAGTTATTTTTGTTTGATGCAAACAGTGGGTGGATGATAGTCAGTTGATACCTGTCACACTTTGCTGTTTACCAGGTAAGGAATCAATTCCAAGGAGTTCAGCCTCCTTTATGCTTTTTATGTTAACAATTGCTGGATGACAGTCAGGTGACACCTGCTGCACATGTTGATCCTTAACAGGCAAGGACTTAATTCCAATAGCTTTCATATTTGATAAATCCCATGATATTTCTTGGGATTGATAGTGAAGTTGTTTCCTGTTGCATCCTCCACGGTGATTTATTGAGACACCATCTCTAGTTAGCTGGTTGTTAACTCATTATGAGTTCTTCTGCCCTTTGATCAGCCTTATTTTTCATCCTATTGGGTTGCTAACAACCTGCTTCACTTGCAGGAACTTAAAATTTAGGTGCCAACATACATATATATATATATATATACACACACACACACATGTACATATGCATAAAAAGGTCAAGATTTGTAAATTAAGAGCACTTGTGGGAAAAGTTTGTGATGAGTTTGATTTGATTACTGCATATATATATATATATATATATGCCTCCCAACTCTCTTAAAAAAGGAAAGGGATTAAGGATTGGAGCCAGTATAGTGGGTTTATGAGTGGGGTAGGTTGGCAACTGAGAGAATGAAATAACTAAAACTATGAAATAACCACCTGTAGCAGAGCGTACAACAGCCAAAACGTTGTGATAAATATGGCAACAAAGATGAGGACAATAGTCTGAATAATGTAAATAGTTTACATAATACCATATCTCAGAAATATAGACAGATACTTAATATAAGTTCAAATATCTATTCTTTGGTATTGCATTGAAATATTCATGGTTAGTTTTCCATCAAAGCTTCCATTAAATGATGCAACCCCAACAATTAAGACTAAATTAATAAGCATATAATCATTACGGACATGTGTGAGTTTATATATATATATATATATACACACACACACACACACATTGCAGCAAAGGTTAATACACAAAATAGGATGGCTGGAGAAGACATAGGAAAGAAGTAAAAAGAATAACCTAACCTTCCTTATTTTTACCTATAGCTGGGAAGTGGGAGATAGATTTATCTTTTTTTCCAAGGGCAAAAGTGCTAAGTGAATCCAACTGAATTTTTGTTTTTTTACAATCATTTTCACTCTGTACAAGGCCCAAAAGCCACTTGAGGTAAATGGTTACAAACTAAGAAACACAGTTTATGGAGATATGTGGATAAGATAACAATTAACCCTGGACAAGTTAAGGCTGGAGAAATCAAGGAAGTATCCTCTTGGAGACAGTTCCACAAAGTAGTGGTTTGTTTCAATGGAATATGAAGGTGGTTAAAATTAACACAAAAAGAAGGGCTTGAAATATTTAACTTTTAAAGTTTCATTTTTTTAATTAAACAAAAACATTTTCAACAATATATTCCAATGCTTTGAGAAGCACCTGTAATTTCAATTAATGTCATGTACTTCCAATTTAAATCATTTTAATAGATCAGCATTGTTGGAATAAAATTATAGCAATCCTTTTTAAAGTAATATATTCAAAAGTCAACCAACAAAGTTTGGTGATGTTTTCAGATAGAGGTGAAGTATCCTGGGTCCATGACAATGTTTTGACTTTGAAACCATCTGTGAGGTTACCATCAGTCTCTACTAAGTACAATAAACTATAAATACATTTTAGTAATATATGCATATATTCTAAAAAGAATAAATAGGTTTTCAGCTAACAGCAAAGATAACTTTTGGAATAGACATACATCCTCTCAGTAATTTGGTTCAACTTTGTTTGCATAGACATAACATGAGATAGGGATTTTATCGCCAAGTATATATTTTAGCAAGTACATGATACTTAAAACTAAAATGACAAAATCATACTCACATTAGCTGCTTATGAACTACATTGAATATTTCTTTTTGGCATTCAATACAATTTAGAAATAATCGTTTCATGGTTTTCTGCTCTTCATCAGCTGTGAGCAAAACAGAAAAGAAAAAGGAACAAAAACTTAGTCACTTGTTTTTGTTGGTATTTAAGACAATATAATCAAAGCTATTCTAAATGCATGCAGTAATAAATGATTCTAAATGTGAAACAACAATAACATTAAAATAATTTTAATAAATTTTTGTAAAGAAAATCAGAACATGATTTTTGTAAGTTTTTAAAGTAAACAAGTCAATGATCAATGTTATTTAATTTTTGTAGAAGTCAATGTTGACAAGTCAATATCTGAGGAGTTTATAAGCACAAGATTGTCTGGTAAAAAAAATTTTACAATGAAAATGACATGGAAAACAACCTTACTTTTGAGTAAAGACATGATAAGACACTGCCAGAAAGAGGCTTGCCATATTTACCAACTACAAATTCAAGATATGTTTGTAGATATGATTTCTAATGTGAAACAAAAATATTGTTGATTTTGTTAATATTTCACTTAATTACATCCCCCCTCCACAAGACTTAAAGTGAAGAACATTTCAAGAGGATTTTAATAATGCTAATTAAAATCTTACAGTCAATTATCAGTTAATAATGATCATATACATAATGGACATAAATCAAGTAAACATGAACTTACAGTAATTTTTCTTGATGTAGAGACTTTTAGCAGCATTCACCCTGAAAATAAGTAGTAATGAGAAATCATATTTCTTTTAAGTAGTAGATGGACATAATTGTAATTGGAAGGAAGCAGTAATTGTAATTCATAATTGTAAGCAAGCAGCAGATAATTGTAGTAAACAAAAAGAAGAAAGTGACAAGAGGGGGGTCAGAAAGTGCAGTGCGCTGTTTGCCGACAGACCAGCTGTTCTTCCTTTGTCGTCAGTTTGCGAGACTCTCTTTCTTGGCCATTACCCCGGGCAGTCGTGAAACAGACACCAACTTAGCCGCACCTACTTGACTTCCTCTTTGTCCGTCAGTCAATTCATACATCCAACTCTATTGCACGAAGTTCACCGAATGACCCGAACATTCTGAGTCGTGCTGCTGGCATCTCACTTTTTATGCTAGTCTGTTTTCGCAGAAATTTGCATGTGTGCAAATATCGTCTCGTTTTGGATGAGATCGGTGCACATAAATTGTGTCTTCGATAGCGGCCATATTTCTTTTCTGTGTTACTTCCTTATTAGTTCATATTTAAGGCAAGACACATTCGCACTCATTCTGAACTTCCAGGTAAGTCATGACTTTCGTCACAATAATAGTTTAGCATTCAAATATAAAAAGAAAACAAATATAAGAGAAAAATGAGGTGAATGCTTCAAACATATTTGGTTTACTTAAGTAATTTACCAACAAGTTTGTCAAACTGAGTTTGTAAGATCTTTTCAACTCACATAAACTGTCATAAGGCTGAATTCTGTTCAATTTGGGCGTTTTTTTTTTAAAAAAAAGAAAAAGAGCTTGAATCAAACTTCAAGTGAGACGGAGACTGGGAGTGATCTTTAGATTTACTTTATTTCATTGTTTTCAATAGTAATTTTTTTCAGGAGTACACACATGAACAATAATTGGAAGTTACTGTCTCTGCTGTTCAGAGATTCACTTGTAATCAAACAAAAGATGAGAAAATTATTTCTATATTTTATTGCTTGTTAATCCAATAAATTTATGCATTACATTCAAACACAAAAAGTTTAGCAAAATTTTCTTGTAAGAAGAATCTTTAGTTCACTCAATGCTCTAGCTGCTACAATCACAACATCCATTACGAAAGAAACTATTACCATAAAATTTAATAGTACAACGTAACGACATACAACTGTTACATGCCAGTACAAGTAGGCCAACAATGAAAAACTTGGAATTGTGAAAACTTGAAACTGATAGAAATAACAAACATTAGGATTTGAATTTAGTTTGCAAATTGGCTGTCCCTACCTACCTATCCCCACCCTCTTGGTTGCTGCAGTGAACAAGATCATTTCATGTGCAAATCACTCATTACATGAAAAATTGTAAAAAAAAGAAAAAAAAGAATTACTTACTCTCGTTTCAAGTTGTCAAAATGTTTGACAACAAATAAAGAACAAACTTTTTTGGTGTGAATATTCTTTGCTTCAAGCCACATCTTACATTTTTGAATCTAAAAAATGTAAGGAAAAAAGTAGAATGAATATTTAAATATGAACTAATAAGGAAATAAGCAAAATCAATATCTGAATCATTGATTGCAACAAAACTAAAGATGCCTGCAGAAATAGAACATATGCCAATAAACATCCAATCATTAAAACGTCAGTCTCCAAACACGAACAATAACCTACTGATGAGGAAATTAAGGAAGTTATAAAAAAAAAAAAAATAATGAATAGTAAAGCATCACTTGATATTGAGGCTGATTTTTTTTGAAAATAGTTTACCTTTTTCCTTTCAATAACACGTTTCTCAGTCTTATGAAGGAAGTCTGAAATCAGAAACATATCCCCAAAAAGTGGGATTTATTGTGAATTAATGCACTATAGAAACAAAAAGGCAGCCTTCAAGACCATCACATATACAAAGGTATCTCAATTGGATCCAGTATAGTGAAAGTATTAAAGAATATTGTATTAGCTAGGGTCTCATTGTTTTATGTAAGTTAACTCCTTACAACCCAGTTTAGTTTTCCTTCTCGTAAGGGGTGTAATGATGACATATGTCATTAAACAACTCCAATTGAATACTTCTCCAATATCCCAAGTCTGTTTAATTTTTTCCTAGACTATGCATTGTGTATTTACAAACACAGATGTGAAAAGATGGACACTGATCATTTAAGCATTCCATACCACATCCCAAATGAATCTACTAATAGAAGAAGGCAACACTGCTTTCCCTCTCAAGGTTAAATTGCTGATGACTTAGATATTCATAACTGGGATAAGAAGGATCTTGAATAAAAAAAGATCCTCTACCAAGTATTCCAAGAAATAAGACTTAAGATAAACCTTTCCAAAACAAAACCTATGATCTGAAATTGGAATAAAAGCAAGTGATGGCACATACCCTGAATCCATCATTAAAAATTTAGGATGTGCATTTATTAAATACTTTGAACACTCCAGTGTATGGTTCATTTATAACAAATTTAATATGAGGTAAAAAAAATTGAATATAGTATTAGCTGTGCTAGGAGTACTTTTGACTAAGACTTCAAATTGCTACAAAACAGGGTCATAAATATCTTTGTCAGATCGAAACTTTCATATGGATGTCATTCAAGGCGCCAAACTTGCTCAGAAATAGATAAACTGTCAGTGGTATACAACTGCTTTCTCAGATGGCTTCGAATGAAGTGAGGACTGAATCTTGGGGACTGGCACTATAGAATCACAAAGAACAATACTAAATAGCAGAAACAACATCATTTGAGGACTTTCAACAACAGTAACAATGCAAATGGATATCACAAATAACTAAGAGAACATAATCAAGATGTTGATGTTCCACACTACTTCAAACAAAAGGTTAGGAAGAAAGCCTGAATCAATACTATAAAATGTGATAATACTACCTGTTATTGTTCTTTCTAACTTGGCTTGAGAAAATATTTCCCTGAAAAATTGTTTTAAGAGAGGAATTTGATTTTATAAATTTCAACCAACAGTGGCACTGGCAGTGTGATCAATGAATGCAAAATGTTTCCTTATAAAAGGAACAGCTAATATTACTATTTAAATAAAATTTTACATTTATTTTGATCTGATTCAATCTTCAAATCATGAAATTAAAGTTATCTTGAATGGCCACTCTTCTAGATCTTTTTTGCATTAATGCAGGTGTCCCCAGGGCTCTATCCTTGAACCTACATTGTTTCAAATTTTCATCAATGACATACCTGATGTCATCAGTTCTGAACTTGGTATCTATTCTGATGACATTATCTATTTACTCATATCTTAATAGTAACAGTAGTTTGATAAGGTTAAATTGGTAGCTGATCTTAAAAATAACCTACAATCTATTAACTGGGGCAAGAAACAGCTTGTTAATTTTAATTCCTTCAAAACAAAAACTGTTCTTTTTTAATCTTCTGAGAGAAACTTTTTTTGCATTCTATCAGCATGGTTAATTCTAACGTCCAGGAAAGTGACTTCTTGCAACTTCTCAGAGTAATGTTTTCTGCTGAGAAGTAGAAAGATTATATTAAATCAATTGCTAGGTCTGCTGCAAGGAAAGTTAGTTCACTGTACTAGACAATTTTTCTTGCCAGAATCTATCTTACACATTTATAATTCATCTATGCATTGAAAATTGCTGCTATGTCTGGTATGGTGCTATGTATTTAGCAATTCTTGATAAAATACAAAGGAGAATCTGCAATGTTATTGGTCCTGACCTATCATCCCAGCTTCAGTCAATTTCCCACTGCTGTAATGTAGATTCCCTGTGTCCTTTCTATAAATATTTTCATGGTAATTGTTCTGATGAGCTTTACTGTTTGGTACCTAGGCTTTATGAATTTAAGAGCAGTACTAGATTGGCAGCAAGGTCTCATTATTTTACAGTTGAAATGGCTGCTAGATTTAACCATAAATTTTATGCTAACAGTTTCTTTTCTCTCACTACTCGCTTGTAGAATTCTCTTCTGGCTTTCTTGTTTTCCAGTCAAATTTGATCTTATTTGTCAATTGTTATCTTGTGTTTCCTTAATTCCTCTTCTTTTATTGTTCTCTCTACTTAATAATGTTTTCTTTTTCACATATTGTCCCACACTCAGTACCCCTTTGCATTCTAGTGGCTTTATTGCCTTGCTTGGGGTGAAATTATTAAAAAAAAAAAATTAATTAGGAATTACCATGGGGCTGGCACTCCTTTAGTGTTAATAGACACTAAATGTTATATACATGCATTATATTTCTTATAAAAAAGCAAAAACTGTTTTTGAGTTTAGTATTTTATGATCTACACATTACACAATTTTCTCAAACAATTCTGAGAATATCAAAATTAAGTTTAAAATACAAACAAGGAGTTGAACTACTAATCTTATTTAATAAATCCAATACATAGAGCAGATCTTTGATTCAGATTATTTTATATACACATGCCTGCCAATGAAGGCACATATTACTTTTATAAGTATAACTTTTGGTATGGGGGGAAAAAGATGTAATTGTCATCAAAATGTATTTTCCTCAATTCTCTTCCTTGGGTATTATTTTTAATTTAAGCAGAAATTTTAATTAAAATCTGGAAGATGACTTTTAATTAGGAAAATGAGTATCTAAATTTCACTATAGAGAGGTGAGTTCTGTGGTGGGGTGGGGGGCAACATTACTTTCTGCATTCATATTCTAATTATAGCTTTATTTTGATTTCCATTTTTCCATATTTTTTATAATAAAAAAAAATCAAATAATGTGTTTCTATTTAGCAGGTATTACTTAAGCCCAATATATTTTTTACTCCAACACATTGAATTTTGACATTATAAAAAAAAATGCTGTTGTTTATGTATTTGTTTCATCATTAGTGCTAATGGTGTAATTAGCAGTGTTCTTTCATCAAGGCTCCTCACTGAATTACTTTTAGTTTAGCAAACTGCTCTATAGAGAAGTTTGGTTTTGTTTGTTTTATGGCATATCAATCTCAATGGGTCATTTAATGCCAACAATTTTTTTTTCCTGGTAATATTTTTGTTTTGTCAAAAATCTATTTCTGGTAATATTTTTTTTCCTTAAAATTGTATAGCTGGTAATATTATTTTCAAAAATGTATTGCTGGTAATATTTTTTTTTTAAAAATGTATTGCTGGTAATATTTTTTTTCTTCAAAAATTGATTTCTGGTAATATTTTTTTTCTTCAAAAATTGATTTCTGGTAATAATTTTTTAAAAAGTATTTTTAGTATTAAAACCGATTTTTACACTTTCATAATGCTTTTTACCTCAGTTTTGGGGTTAACTATTTGCCCATAGCTGGGACCCTAACAGGTGCTCCCACCCCGGGTCAGGATGGACCTGAGAACACCTAGCAATTAAGAAGTGGTTCCATGCTCATCAAAGCCTCCTGATCAGAGGCCTTGCTGTTGGACGTAGTTTATCATCTTACCCTGGACACAAATGTAGTTTATCGTCATATCCAGGATGGGCACTATAGAGAAGAATGTAATAGTTAGGTTAAAAACAGTTTGATTCCAAGTTGAACTGAGACCTTCATTCATTTCTATCAAATATTATAGCGATTTTCTAAGTGCTGCTTAGATGTGGCACAAGGCTGGAAGTATGGAGCACCCACTGAGGATTGAACTCACTACTCAGTCATAATATGTTCTAGCGAGACAAGCTTGCTAACCATTACACCACGCTGAGGTGCCCAATATCAAATATTATAGATTGTAAAAACGAATACTTACAGAATGCTGAATAGCTACTGCTTCTGTTTCTTTGTCATGCCAACTGCTAATTAAGCTGTGACTTGCTGTTAAAAAAAAAAAAAATCAAATAAAAAAAAATCTCATTTAAGAATTGATGTGTTTTGGCTTGTCTCTTACTCCTTTTAATAAAAAATTTGAAGCATTTTATGTGCCTTTTAATATACCCTCAATTACTTTTCCTATTTACATTTTATCTCAAGACAACAGCTTCTTATCTTTAGCAAACAAAATCTTGACTTATTTGCAGTTATTAAAAAAGCAACAACAATCTTTGTTTTAATCTTTTTCAATGTTTAAACTGCTTTTCCTTCTCATATTTATTGTAATCTGCTTTTAAGAAATCAAATTTTCATAGATTGACAATATATTAACTTGACTCTTATATTCATCATGATTAAACAAAATATTGAGGGTCCTTCACTGTTCTGTTCCTAGAATGCATCATAATGTGATTTTTTTGTTTAATTGGAATATACCCATGATTTTCTGTGAATAAACACTTATGTCACTCATCTATGCTAATGTAATAGAGTAATAATCTCGGACATAACACATTTTAGGTCTGAAAAACACATGGAGGACATAAATATAATACATAGAATGAAATGAAAATAATACATATAATGAAAGTGTTTTAAACTGCTTCTATATTTATTGTCAGTGATGAAAGTATGAAGCATAAGATCTTGGTAGATGAGATGACAAAGTGTATGTATGAGACACAGTACAAATCAAAACAAGATTAATGGATATTGCATCATAATATAGCCATGAATTGTTGTATGGCAGGCGTGTTGTAACCCAGTGACAATCTTTGGAATAAATGTTTTGAAAGTTTTTTCATTCTTTAGAAGTATGATCAAAGAAGAAAACCTAACTAATCCTTGTAGATTTTCACTTAGAGCATGATTTATAACTATCATATTGCTATTGTATTAATTTATTTCCCAAATGACACTTCATTTTCTCTGATAGTTTTGTTGTTACTTATTGTCCTTAACATTTCTTGAATGGTTCCAAACTGAGTCCCATTAATAATTTGTATATTTTTATGATCAGTAGGTTCATACCTTGTTTAGATTTGGTCAAATTTCTGAGGATAATTTTTTTTTCTTTTGTTAATCTATTAAATTTACTACTGTAACAAATTCATGAAACAGTCAATCATTGTACCAATTGTAATATGAATATTTTTAAAATAACATTGATATATACGATGGTGGGCTGAAAAGTTCATGTTCATAGGCTGACTATGAAGGAATAATGCGAGAGCTGTGAAATCTTGCATGCATTAATTTCAAATCTTCTTATTAATAACTGCATTGTTTTGTTTTGTTTTTTACAGGTAAACTAACATGTGACTGTTCAAAGAAGACTTCAAAAGTAACTAGTAGTGACTTCTCTTGAAAATGGACAAAATTTGACATTGTGATATTATCAAGTACATGCAGAAAAAGGGTTTAGTCTCCAAAGACAGTCATGCTAACATGGTTGCTACATTAGGAGATGATACTTCAGCTTTATCAACAGTGCAAAAGTGGGCAGCTGAATTTAAGAGGGAAAGGGAGAGTCTTGAAGATAATCCAAAATTCAGATGTCCTGCAGCTACCACAACATTGTAATGGATAACAGGTGATTGACTATAAATCAAATAGCCAATGCTATTAGCATATCCTGTAAGAGAGCTGAGAATATTCTGTGCAATGAACTTGGCATAATGGAGGTTCCTGCTTGGTGGATACCATATCTGATACCTGATCTAGTGTGCCAAACTGATCACATCATGGAAAAATCTGACATTATTTGAAACAGATCCAGCTAGTTTTCTAACCCAGGATGAGTGTTATGTTCATCACTTTGAACCAGAGACGAAGAGAAAATCCATGTAATGGAAACACTCCTCCTCATTGACTCCAAAGAAGATATTGTTTCAAATTCAGGGAAAGTGAGTCATAAGTTGAGTCATAAGTTATTTCCGTTTCTGGGAACCAATTATAATATTTTGAAGAATAAAGTTGATTATAACTCAGCTTATTACTGAATATAGATTTAACAGTTGAATATATCTTTTGCAGTAAACTTATAAATTTATGAAGGGATGTTGAAAAGTTCTTGGTTCAATCCATTTCCCAAATTCTGACCAAACATATTAATTTGGCAAAGGCATCTAATTCAAGCAAATAGCTTTGTAGCACCCCCTTGTATTTCTATCAATTTTAGTAGATATCCGGCCTGTATCAAAAGCTTTTCTCCTAAAATATACATTAAGCAATTAAGTAAGACTTTTTATCAGTTAAAGTCAAAGAGATATGATTATACTTACAAATTCCTCCTTCTGCTTGCTCTTGATACTTTTTTACATTATGTCGTAAACTGTAAAACACGAAAACTACAAATAAGGAGATAGAAAATGATTATTTTTTTTGTTTGTGCAATTGATAAATACTGTTTGGTACTGAATACAAGTGTTGTCTGGAATAGTCATGGTAGTGTGTAGTTTTTAATTTATAAATGTGGTTCAAATAAATGCAAGAGTGCATGTTCTCTGGTGCAGCGTGATTCCTTGAACAAAATAATTGTGCCATTGAGAAAATTATTTGAAAAATAATAAGTATGTTGTACCAAACAAGCAGTGTTGAGGTTAAAATTGAAGTAAATAATTTAAGTTTAAAAAAAAATTATATTTATAACAGAATTTAATGAAATTTAGGCAGAAGATGAATCACAAGATTGACAAAAAATATTCAAATTATTAACAGAGTTAATTCAAGTTTATTTGTTATTTTAATAGTAACAACATTTTATGGACCTTAATAAATAAAAAAATATTACATATTGCAAATTTAAGTCTTACCAAAAAGGCAACTGAATTAACTTGGAAAATAATAAACTTGTACAAATAATAGCTTACCTTAGGAGGAAAAATTCAACCTTTGCTGTCAAATTTTGAATAAGACAATTCAAATTATCATGAGCTTTGGAACATTCTTGCTGAACCATCATTTTTGCTGACCTTTGGCAAAGAAAAAAGAAAAGCAAAAATTAATAAAAATATATATTTAAAATGTTGCACGAAAAATAAATTTAGCCTGTGAATTAAATTGGAAATATATCTAATCCCAAATCTCATAAAATTTAACACCATACATTTTATAATAAAGAAAATAATCATTATTTAAGACAATAAGTGCCATCACATATTAATAAATTATTAATTTAATTATTTTTTAAATGCTGGGAAGGGAGGTAAAGTTTTTTTTCAAATGGTAAGATGATTTACTTCTGTTTCATGATTTTAGACTTTGTTTAATTGACCAAAATTTATGAAGAAAAAACAATTCATGCAATTTTTTCTATCACATGGGACAACTGTTATCTTTCATTAAAGAAAAAATTGCTGGCAAACTGCATTGAAAATTGAAGAAATTAATTTTATTATTAGTTGTAGTAGAAGAGAATATTAGTACAAAATAATTGAATTGAAAAAGTCCAAAGAATTTATGAAAAAATCTTAGAAAAGAGCAAAATTTTCTTCTGGTCTTTGTTCTTGATAGAAGAACAGAGTATCACTTTTTTTGAGTGTCAGTCATGTAATCTTTAAAAACAAAACTGCACAATTGTTATTCTGAATACAGCTGATGTTTAATTTTGATTGTTGCCTACTTTTACTTCACTGTGAAATTTTCTGGTATGTGGTGCTTGCTTCAAGAATTTAATTATTTATTTATGATTTATAATTTAATTAAGAACATGGCTGAACAAAAGAAAAACAGATTTAAATGGGAACAATAAATAAAGAATGGTTAATAGTTCAGTCATAATCCTCAGACAATTCATTAGTGAAGAGAGAAGCATTGTATCTAAATGATTAAAAACAAGAGAATTTGTCATTTTGCAAAGTTACTACAAATTAAAATATTCAAAGTCTTTACCAGCAGGCCTTGTGGCAGTTCATCAAATTATCACAGTCAAATAAGATCTGTTCACAATGATACACAGCCTCTTCCCAGATCGCCTGAAAAAAGAAAAAAACCATTATTAAAAGTGTACTTTCAGTGTAACCCAAATCTAACTCAAAATTTTACTTAACTCACTCATTTTTCTGTAAGAGCTAATTTGCCATAACCTGTAACAAAGTTAATCACAATGACAGAGTATTTAGTGTGATATCTTCCATGGTAGAGGAATAAGAAAACATGGTTGAAACAAACACATGAGAGTCTGTCCATCATGAATTTGAGAACAAAGTGTTATAGCAGTTACAGACACAGAAAACAGAAAGAAGACTCTCCAGCCTTGGTCAGCAACCAATCTAAGAAATGTGTAACTGATTCCAAACCAGACATGGAGTCTCCCAAGCAAATCAGCAGTAAATTTTAACTTTTTGGCAATTCTTGCAACCAAATGGCTGCTAGTTGTGAATTTCATTATACAACTGGGAAAAAGAAAATGATTTTGGAGACCAAGAATGTGGAATTACACCAGCATAACAAATTTTTCAATTTAAAAATATTCACATACAGGTTCCTGTAAAAATATATTCTTCCCAGCTGCAAACAGCAATGAGACAATGTTCAACAAAGACATACATGTCTTTGTTGAACATTGTCTCATTGCTGTTTGTGGGTGTGCTAGGTATTTAAGAACACAGGTCATAAATGGAATATGGTTAAATGTACCAAATTTTAACATTTTCATTTCTCTTTCAGACATATGGAAGCAGTTCCAATCTGACAAAAAAAAAAAAAAAAAATGAAAAGGTGCACTAATTGCAAACCACAGTGTCTTGGAGATAGCAAACTTCTTGAAAGTGGACAGTAGGAAGAAGTGGCTCTGTGCAAACACCATGGTTACCATGGATTGCACTGACTGACTTTACATTAAAACATTGTTGCTATTTAATAACATTTCAGAAGTGTCCAAATAGAATAGTAAATAATGAATTCTAAAACATTGAAAGAACATTAACTTGAATTTTTGAAAATAACTCTTTTAAAAATAATTTTTCAGTGTTTAAAAAAAGCAACAAAAAACTTTCCAAACAAAAAGATATTTGAGTATTTTATATTTTCTGATTTGGGACCAATTTTTAAATCTCATGTTAGAAGTTTCCAATAAAATTTCAACTGACTTAATTTATACAAGGAATTAACTAGAAATGTAAATATATTTAGTGTCCAAATTATATTTTAAACAACTTGAATAAAATAAAAGTTGGTGGTGGGGTTGAATGAATTAAAAAATATTTTCACAAACTTGTCTTATAAAATACCCTTTTCATAAATATATTCATTTATAAATATTGGTTCCAATTTGTCCAGGAATGACTGCTAAGAACATTCCCTACACAAATTTATAGACAAGTTTTACAGGCTATGATATATTAACCAATAAAAATGAACAATTCCTGGCCTCATTCTACATATTTTTGTTCTTTCTTGTCTAGAAGTCAGAATGTTACAATCACTTGACTGTATTCCTTTTTGCATGTGAGCATGATTCTTACTTTGTGAACTTTTTGCCTTATTACTTAGTCTAATTTTTGGCATATATACGCATTGTTTGCTTAGTATTATTTTGCCGTTCTTATTGTTTTTATTGAGAACTTTTAAAAAATGTTTGTGAAATTTGTCAGTCACATTAATATTAAAAGTGTATATGTATCAATGGTAGCTATTTTAAGAATACTTATTTTTGTATCAGGCATAAGAAAACATGAGGAGGCAGCTACCTCTGGCAGGTCTTTTGATGACTCAAATACTGTCCTATTTGCCAAAATGTGTGTGTGTATACACACACACACACACATAGATACTCCAAAAGTAATACCTCCTATTTACTTCCAGGGAAATAACAGATATGGGGAATGCACCATAACATTGTTGGATAAAGAAAGGTTTTGACGACAAAATATTATTGTTCAACAGTCACCACCACTGCATATGCATTTCTACCAGAGGTGAAAAAGAGCTTGCATGTTGCACTTGTAAAAACCAATATCAGCACAGGTGAACTAAATCACTTTGCTGCTGCCATTGATGAAATGCATTACCCATTGATTAACTGTGCTCACATCTACTGTTTGGTCTCCATAAATGTCCAGCAATTGTTGATGAATGTTAATGGGTGCAATTTTTTCTACAAAGAAAAATTCAGTGATATACCTCTGCATTGTGCGCACTTTTATGTCAGATATCATTTTGTCCGACTGACACTTACACACACACACACACACACACATTTAGAGAAAGAGAGCAAGATTTTTTTTTTCTTATAATAGGTATCCCAAATTAAAATGTTATTTTCAATATATTTAATACAGACATAGTGTGACAAAATATTTAAAATAAAATGGTATCAAATTTTAGTAGCTCAATTAGTAATCGAGTTATAACCGTTCAAAGTTCTGACAAACATTGAAGATTTTATGCTTCTTGTACTATTGGGTCAGAAGCCAATTTTAACTATGCATAACTGAAGATTCAGGCTTCAAATAATGTCATACAGGTAGTCCTGAAGTATAAAGATAGTATTATCTTTTATTATCTATTATTCTTTAATAGAATCAATAATTATTAGATCTGACCAGCCTAAACATTAGAGAAAATTGAGTTTTCAAAAATGAAATATTTAAAAAAAAAGGACACAAAAGGCAATTCTGACCATTCATCTGTTATAGCCAATATTCTTGGAACACTCCGTATCCTATCGTCACTTGAAAATAATATATTGAAGTCCCATCTAAAGACAAATTTTGATGCCATTTGTGCTAAAACATTAAACAAAGTCCATCAAAAAATAAATAATCTCTGCCTTTTGTTGGAACAAAATTTTTGATTACAGCATCAATGGCCTGGTCAATATAAAAGTTTAGGTAATGTTATAATGGAACACATTGGCCTTGGTACTTGTAGGGTTGCCGATTTTCTGTTTCAAATTTTCTTTGATTCTGTTTCCACTTTTGGTAATTTCCGTTTTTTACTTTTGGAACATTTCAATTTTCCATTTTATAGTATTTTATGAGAAAATTGCAATACAATATGCTATAATTATTATTAAAACTGAAAACAAAACACACAATTTAAAGTTTTATTGCATATAAAGAAATAGTAAATATCTACAAATCTTTTTTTAAATGTTAAAATCCAAGTCCAAAAATAAATATGTAAAAATAAAACATGTAACATGACTAGACAATAAAAAAAATATGGAATGTTACAGTGCATAATTATCTTTGAGATAGAACTTTTAATCAGAGCTTCCTTTAAGAACACATTCAAAAAACATTCAAATTGTTTTTTAAGTAAAAATATTTAGATTGATTTATAATTATTGATTCATAATATAAAAATCACATTTAAAGTATCAACTGCAAATAACTTGAATCTCAATAATAAATATCTGAATAAAGTCAGACATTTTATCTAAAATTTTACAAAACAGTAATTAAACCATAACTGAATCTTTGTAACAAAATATCAAAAAACAAATTAGACATATTAATTCAAAATTTAAATAAAACAACTTATCCCATGTTGAAATACTGCTCAAATTTAAAATTGCTAATTTCTTAATTTGGGAAATATTTAATCTTCAAATCTCTTCTCTAAATCTCCATTGTAGTTGCTTGGTGTTGTCAGGGGCAAGATTTTCATGTTGTTTATTGAGTAAATGTTTATACTGGAAAAATGAACATTCAGCATCTATGCTGGTAACAAGCATCCATATGACCTTATTGGCAATCTGTTCCAGAAGAGGAAATCTGTTCTTATTTGAATTTCAAAAGGATTTCATAAATAATCATGGTAATTCACATACATTTGGAATTCTTTAAGATCAGTAGGACATTGCAAGTACTTGATAGCTGCAAAACTGTCTGGCATATACAGGGTAGCTGTCTAGGATCAAACAGGCAAGCTGCTTTGTAAAAGCTATACACAGAGAGGGTATCCAGGTATTTATTCAGCTTCAAAAAAGATGTGCTGAAAAAATCTTGGAAATTTGAGATAATTCTCTCTGTGTTTTCTAGCTCAGATAGAAGACAATCAGTTTCTAGGTTAAATGTTGAGTTTGATGTACCAGTATGCAAATACTATTTTACATCCTCCATCATGTTATATACAACACATGCAAGGAGAGACTTAGTTTCTTCTAAGTTTGTCAAAGCTGTTATTGAACAAGTGCAGTTCTCATTTATAAAAATATGTGCTAAACACAACACATGGCAACTGTTAACAAAGACATTTGACAACACTTCCTTATGAGCTTTTTTGCAATAGGCTGCAGAATCTTACAAAGGCAATAATATCCTCAAATGCAATATCTATGTGAGTTACAGTTTGGATTCATGCCTAACTTACAGTTTGATGATTGCATTCTCCCAACATCAATGAGAAATGACTCCCCACAAATGCTTGCAATTACATTCAAAATGCTGTGGTCATGATAGTTGTTTCATCTGTTATGATGCTGATTGATTGATTAGCAAGCTTGGTTTTCAGAGTAGCAAAGTGACAAGCAAACAATTTTGGTAGATGAAGTTGCCTCATTTTGTCAATTTTGTGTAGAGGAATGTAATGTCAAAGTGCACATTTTCAAAAAAATCAAGGACAAAATCATCTCGTACCTCTTTACTCTTTAACAAAGTTGAGATTGTCTTCTGTTTCAGTTGGGTTGATTTTTTTTTGAAAACTTTGTCAAATGAGTTTTTGATTTGAATGTGATCTTTGATTGTGTCAACCCTAAATATGTTAACACTATGGAGACAGAATTTGCAAAATAACATATTTTCTTCTGCATAAAAGTTATCAGGAATTCTACATAAAAGTTAAGAAATTGGCCTTAGCACAAATTTTAGATACTGGTGTTATTTTCTTTTTCTTTTTTTTAAAGAGCAGACCCAACTTTAGAGGTAGATTCACTCTATTGGCTTTATTCAGTCATCTTGACAATTTGTTGCTTATTCATACAACTGGTTTAGATTACAAAATATAAATAAAATATGAAAGAATAATC